ACTCGAAATTCGATCCCAAGTCACTCAGGTACGAACTGTCTGAGTTACGTGAGACTCATCGAAAAAGTGGGAGCGAGTTACGCATGTATTTTGGCTGAGGATGCTATAGATCGGGTTATCGCCGGGCCTATCGATGTGAGTTCATTGGACGAGAAACTTGATACGTTTAACGGGCAGCATGCCTCTTTTGATCGCTTGCTAGCGCGTGCTTGGTTACTTGCTACTGATATGATAGCTGGAAGTCACCAACATGGGCTAGAACTGGGTCATGGTGACCTCTATCGTGATTCACGATTCGTGAATCTATTCAAGGATCAGAATTCGGTACTCGTGAATTATGGTCGTGCCCTAACAAGAGCTACTGTTAGAGGTCTTCGAAGCTGAGTGGTGAGCAAAGGTCAACCGCCCACCCAGAGTATAGCAGAGTATGATAGAATGTTCGTGCTGTCTGATCTTCAGTCTTCTTCGTGTTGTGTCGTGTTTTGTAGAACATCTTAACACACTCGCATTATCGTGCCGGAAAACCCGGCTTTTCTGTCGGTGAAGTCGTAGTAATCGTAGAGCCTCGCTTCATCAACCAATATCTTGATGATACCCGATCGACGAGTGTTATTCGTGTCGTACAGCCTTTCTTTAAGTACAATCCTTCTATACGATTGCCTGCTATACCTATTCGTCTCCAAAGCTCCTCATTCGCTTATTTTCATCTACCTCGTGTTCAAATATCTCTCTCATCCTTTCGATTAAGCATTTCTTGTGGAGGTTCTCTCTGTAATCGATTGCCGCTTACTTCAGGATCTAATTACTGCGAATGCGTAGTCAAAAGCAGCAAACCAGGCTTCGTTCTCGAGGCAGACCTACGCAACAGTAATCAGGAGATCGTTGTCATTGACACATCTAGGAATCCACTTCGTTTAACGAAGTTCGTTAACTATCCTTTTGTTACCTTCCACGAGATTGAACCATTCACACAACAGAGATCGGTGGTTTAAAACCTCATCGATACATTGGAGGATATCGTCAGTCTCGAAGAGGAGAGAAGGTTATGCTCGATGTGCAGATGACCGCCACTTCGCATTATCAAGTTTCAGACGTGCATGGATATTCGCTCGTAATTCCATCCATGAGATTTTACTTGTCTTTTTGTCTCCTCGCTGGTCGCTGGTGTTTGTTCGCCCCCTAGGTCAAGCCCTAGAAAAGGTGAGTCTTTATCTCCCCAGCCTGTATTTCGGAAATACTATTTCCCCATGGTCATCCCTACGTCGGGGCGTCAAGGGTTGGAAATCCTCTCAATATTGAATTCGCTGTCAACCAAGAGCATTACTTGAACGTGGGCCCATCCCCGGCATTATCTTCTTCCACTTAACCGCCGACTTCTTCTTATGTTCCACGGGATTTCAGCGCCCGCCTTATTTACTGTGCCAACTTCGAGGCGGCGCAAGTTGTGAGTCTCGCTCGCCCGAAAATCACTAGTTGAATCGGCTGGTGGTTGAGGCTTTTTGTGAAGCCTTCCTACAGCCTTTATTGAGATCTTTGAGTGATCTGTGAGGACTATCTTCTAGATAGTATCGGGAACTATTTCTTTCGTAATAAATCCTAACACCAAATTGGTATAAGTTATACCGATATATGAAATAGATTATACAATAAGCCGTAATAAGTTGCTAAAGTACAATCATATTAACATCCTAGTCATTGATTCGACTAACTCAACAGGATAGGGAAGATCCTAACAGCAGCATCAATAGTAGTAGTAGTAGTGGTAGTAGGAGGAGGAGGAAGGGATACTATCCCAGTAGTAGTAGGAGTCGACCTCCTCAAGTGATAATGTTCGTACATACTAGGGATGGAGACAGACAATAATGTTACATGATATTGTATACAAAGGGCAACATCAGCTCTATGCCTATCATTACTCCACCAGTGTCGATGGAACGATGCTATTATCTCTTTCCTCTGGGGTTAGTGAGAGCTCCACTTCTACACCATAATGATCCGATAACTGGGTGAATCCAAACTCCTAATGAAGAGCATGTATGAATAATGAGCACTACTCTCCTGGAGAATAATATATACCCGTATATAGTCAATTGTTGAAATGTTGTTGTCATGTAATACAATACACGAAGCAGCATCACACGAGGTTACTCACCTGTAGTGGATCATTAGTTGCTTGAGAGAGGGCATACAACCTTTCTCCTCTACGCTGTGTTAAATGAAAGCTATTCACTTTAGCTGATTTCACACTCACTGATGGTGTTGCCTTATTATCTGCCAATACAATGATAATATACTCCCAATAATACCTTACCTCACTTACCGACGATGGTGGTGGTGGCTGAGGGGAAATAGAATATATAATCAAGTGATTGATTAGTCTGTTCCCCATGTCCAGTCCAATCAATAGGATCAGTCAATGCTGTTTCTGATGGTAC